CGCGACTTCAACGACGACGACGACCAGGACTGGAACCTCCCACTCCCGCTGCTTGAAAGTCCCCCACACATACCAGACATGCGGGTGGCACCACTTGATTGGCTCTCGCGCGAGCAATTTCTGAAGTTCGACACCCCGCACATCGTCACACCGCGATTGGCGCTGCTTGCACGTGACGACAACAAGCGCTACAACACCTGGTACCTGGACAGCTGCTGCGGCCAGCATATGGTGGGCTCCGAGCGTTACATATCCAACGCCGTCCCCACCCCTACAGTCACTTACGTCACTGTGGCGAACAACACGCGCCTACGCGCAAGCGCACAAGGCATTGTCGTGCTCAAAGCACGTGGAAGCCGCACGCACATCACGCTTAACGATGTGCCGATCGTCCAGAACCTGCGCTTCAACCTCCTGTCCGCCGCACAGCTCATGGACTGCGGCGTCGACCTCAGCACGGATCGCGAGACGCGAGACATCCTGCTGCACTACGAATCGCACACATTTCCCCGCAGGCAGATCGGACGAGCGCACTCCGAAAATGGAGTGTATGTCCTAGATTTCGACATTCCCGACTGCAGCGGCGACTCGCACGAGTTGATTGATCTCGTGCCACTGCGCTTCGAGCACATCCACCGCAGGGATTGGAAGCACCCTGACGGGAGACCGTGGGTGCCGCATTATCCCCACCCACGCGAAACGGCGTTACACAACCCCGATCCAGATGGCATCTGCAGGGATTGTTACACGCCGACGACATCCACGAGCGCGATTGCCGGCCGCGGACTCACCGCCATCGCTGAAGCAGAACGCCACGCGCCCCCAGAGGAAGGGATGTCGCATCTCGAGCTTGAAGTTACTACCCACGGCATTTTCGGCACGCCAGAGCATCCCCTCATCGCTCCCCCCTCACAGCACCTTCAAGGCATGCTACGCGGAACTGGCGTCGGCACCTTTGATGCCCATGGCGAGCCGCGACCCTACACCTACGAGAGTTTTCTGGCCATCTACTCTCATCGACGCGACTGATCGAAGAAACTCACCGCCGAGCAAGAGGAAGAATTGGCGCGCCGCGAAGCTGAGGAGCTTCGCCAGCAAAGCCTCACAGAAGCACGTGGGACCTTCGCTTGCGCCACCTGGGGAGCTGAGGTTGAAGAAAGTGCCTCCAATGAAGGGGGGTGGGGGAGCGCTGGAGGATGGGGAGACACCGGCGGAACCTGGGCCAACGCGAGCGGCGGATGGGGCGCCGCAACTAGCGCCGACAACAGCGGCTGGGGTACTTTCCGCGAAGAACGAAAGGGGGGAGAGGATGAAGCTGAGGAAACTGAGGCAACACCTGCAGTCGTTCCTCTTGGTCGTCCCCCGCGTCACATTTCACTCGCACCACCTCCTCCTGACAACCCCCCGCGTCGTGATCCGTGGGACACCATCATCTGGGGCAACGAGCCGTCAACCCCGCGTCGCACCGTCTACGGACCTACCCCTGAGCCACGCGAACCCACCTTCGTCCCCGGAACCATCCCCGGGACCAACATTCTGCTCTCTGAGATTCGCGACAGAGAGTTCCTGGCGCTGATGCTGACTACCGCACCAGAAGAAGAAGAAGCAGAGGGAGTAGCGGCAGAACCTGCTCCTGTACCTGACGAAGACCCTGAGGAAACGCGCACGCGCTACATGCGCACCTCCGGCCTTCGCGCGGACGATACGCTCTGGCACCAGCGCCTCGGACACCCTTCACGCGCAACGCTGAAAAACTGCATCGACGCAGGCGTCTTCGCTCCTGGCGCACTCCTGCGTCCTGATGGCTCCGAAGTGAGAGGCGCGACACATCCGCGCAACTGCACCGTCTGCCCCGAAGCTTCGCTGAGCCACCAACCGTTCCCGCTGCTCGAACCTGGAACGAACCGCTACCCCAAGCTGCACAAGGTGTACAGCGATTTCCTGAACGTGGGGCATTGCGGAGTCGAGGACGAAATGTACACGCTCACCTTCATCGACGCCGGAACGCGCTACGTGTGGGTCGTGAACGTGGAGTCACGCGACAGAGCCTACGAGGTGTTTCGCCTCTGGCTGGCGCACGCAGAGCGACAGTCTGGGAAGAAGCTGAAAATCTGGCAATCTGACGGCGCGGCAGAATTCAGGAGCAACCAGATGCAAACCTACCTCACGCAAAAGGGGATCGAGCACCACATTTCTCTCCCCTACGCGCACCAGCAGCAGGGTGTAGCTGAGCGGACGAACCGCACGCTAATGACGAAGGTGCGCGCGCTGATGAAGCAGTCGAAATTGCCGCCAATCTACTGGACCTACGCGATGCACCACGCAGTGCGGGTGCACAACCTACTCTCGACCACCGCCATCACCGGCAATCTGTCCCCGCACGTCAAATGGACCGGGACCAAAGGGGATACCTCCATGCTGCGCGTATGGGGGTGCATGGTTCAATACCGCCCGCCGACCTCAACCATCGGCAAATTCGTCAGCCGCGCGCGCTGGGGGATCCATCTCGACATCAGTCATGAGTACAAGGCGTGGATCGTGCTGGACCTCCTCAGTCAGAAAATTGCTCACGCTCGGGACGTCATCTTCTACGAGCGCCTCTTCCTCGACCAGTTCCGCCGCGACGAAGAAACGAATGCGAACCGCGTCTACGCGAACGATGGGCACAGCTACGCAACGCTCGAAGACGAAGCCGCTGCAGCAATCTTGGAGCAGGACACGACGGGCGAGTTCGTGTGGGAAGAACCACGCAGCAGCGACGACGACGACGACGATTCCTCGGGAGGAGGAATGGGCGCAGCAGGCGGAAGCGGAACAGGCGGAAGCGGCAGAGGCACAGCACCACCAGCGCCTCCTGAACCAGAAAGCGATGACGACGACGTACAGGAAGTCATCCCGCAACGTCGCCACGACAGCACTATCTCAGGACTGCAGCTGCTCGGGCTTCACACCGCAACTTCGAAGGCGCCACGTGTCATCGAGCCCCGAAATCCGCGCGAAGCTCTTTCTGGACCACACAGCAAGGAATGGCGCGAAGCAATGGACGCAGAGATCAAGGCGCTGGAGTCACGAGACACCTGGGTGCTAGTCGACCGCGCGGCGATCAAAGGCGCAAGAATCCTCTCGGGGAAGTGGGTCTTCCGCGTGAAAACCGCAGCGGACGGAACGATCGAGCGCTTCAAGGCACGTTGGGTGGTTCGCGGCTACGATCAGAGGCATGGCATCGACTTCGATCAGACGTTCGCCCCAGTTAGCCGCCATACCTCCATTCGAATCCTGCTCGCCATTGCAGCCGCAAGGCACCTACCACTCCGCCAGATCGACGTGAAGAACGCGTTCCTGTATGCGTTAGTGGACGCCGTGATCTACGTGGAGCAGCTGCACACCTACGGCGGAGGGGACTCGCGCGCGTGCCAACTGCGCAAGTCACTCTACGGGATCAAACAGGCTCCGAGGCTGTGGCAGCAGTACCTGCACAACATCCTGCTTGAAATCGGATTCAAGCAGATGCCGCACGATCCAGGGATGTATCGCCGCGAATTCCGGGGGGAATACATTCTCCTCACGGTGTACGTCGACGACCTGCTTTACACAGGCTCAAACAACGAGCTTCTCGAGCAGTTCGAGAAGGCCTTGGCGGGGCGCGTCGACATCACGTGCAACTACGAGGTGAAGCAGTTTCTAGGCCTCAACATCTCCTACGCGCCTGAGGCCATTCATCTCTCAGCGGCTAAGTACACAGAGGAGTTAGGGAAGCGGTTCAACATTCCACCTGCACCTCTCTCAACTCCCTACCGAACTCCCGGACCGAACCACAAACCCGACAACAAACCCCTATCCCCTGCTGGGATTCAGACTTACCAGCAGCAGTTGGGATGCCTCCTCTTCAACCTCATCGGCTATGTGGACGCCGATCACGCAGCAGACCCCGATAATCGACGGTCCAGGACTGGCTTCCTGTTCCGACTCGAGCCAACGGGACCAATCTCCTGGAACTCGCAGAAGCAGGAGCTGGTTGCCCTGTCGTCAGCCGAAGCGGAATTCATCGCAGCAACCGCAGCAGTTCGCGAAGGCCTCTACTTGCAGGAACTCCTGCAAGAGGCGAAAATTCCAGCTTCACCCACATTTCGCCTTCACTGCGACAACCAGAGCGCGATTCGCATCGCGAACAAACCTGGTTTCGTCAACCGGACCAAGCACATTGCGCTGCGGTACTTCTTCGTGAAGGATGAGGTGGACAAGGGCAAGGTCAACTTGACCTACTGCCCGACCGGTGACATGGCAGCAGACTTCCTCACGAAGCGATTGCCACGCCAGCAGTATCAGCACTGCTCCGAACTCAACGGCGTGGTCAAGCAGGTCAAGTCGAGCTGCGGCCAGGAGTGAAGGGGGGTGTTACGAATAGTAATACTTGAATATTACTGTGCACTCCTCACCGCAGCAAAGAGAAGCACGCAGTATCGCGAATGAACGCGAAGCGTCAGACAGTTGGAAACGACTCGAAGCGTCAGACAGTTGGGACGCATCTGAACCGTCGGAGCAGACAGCATCAGGCAGCTGCAGGCAGGATGGCTTCGGCGGGAACAGTTTTCGTAACTGTTCGCGCCGCACGGTTGGGGATGTATTTGAATAAGGGAATGTACCCCTTAGAGTACATGGCTAGCTAGGTCGTTTCATCTCCCCTGTACTCATATTTATATTTGCTGTATTTGCATGTTTTATTTCATCTCAAGCATTTACATTCACTCTGCTATTGAGGTCAAGGGCCCACCAACATCACTTCTCTGCGTGCGAACCTTCCTGAGTAGATCCTAGGCCACGATCAACTTCTGATCGCAGCAAATACCTGTCGTGTGCATATAACCCTCCTCATCTAAAACGCTGTCAGGTTCCCAATCTTAGAGGGAAATGAGAGGAAGCTAAGAGGGAAAGCCAGTGGGGAGCGGGATGCCAGGCAAAAAAGAGGGAAGCGAGGGGTGAGAGAGGCACCTCAGGAGCAATTACCTAGAAAATTTTGGGAGGCTGTGAATGCAGGAAGAAGCAAACAGGGGTGCAAAAGTAGAATGGACGAGATGAGGAGAAGCGGGTGAAACGAGACGAGTGATGGGAGGAGGACCAAAGGAGGGAAAACAAGGGTGGTAGTGGAAGGGAAAGGGGGCAGTTATAGGGGAAAAGAATAGAGGGCGATGGAGAGAGGACGAGGGGAAGGGTGGGCGGGATGGGTAAGATGAGGAAGATAAGTAAGAGGTTTTTGCGGGGGAGGGATTAATAGGATTAGGAAAAACGGACAAATAGGGGAAAAGGTGTGCAGGGAAGAAGGAAGGGACAGGGAAAGGGAATGCTGAAAGACAGATGGGAAATGGCAGGAGAGGGGAGTCAGACGGCAAGTAGAAAAATAACGAACGGGGAATGGAAGAAAGGGATGGAGACACAGGGAGAGGGAGGGAGGGAAGGATGGAGGCCCAGATGGAAGCGATGGAAGGACAAAGCGGCGCGAGAGGGGGAGTGTGGAGGGAAGCTGGAGAGAGAAAAGTGGGAAAGGGAAGGGGATTCGCACGGCGAAGCAGGGAAGGGGGCAGTGGGGGCTGGGCGAAGGGGAAGGGACGGAAGGAGGTGGAAAAAGACGGAGCGCAGAACAGCAGAGGAGGGAGTTTGACAAGAGGGTACAGCAGACTCAGGAATGGCAGAGAACGGGTGGAAATGGTGTGCAGAAGAGAACCGGAAGTAAGCAACATGCAGAGAGCGGGGGTGGATGTAGTCTCCTGCAAACCATCTTCAGAAAGACCCTTCCTGCCAATTGTTTCCATCGCATACTAACAAGCCCTTCCGTTGCTTATATCCATTCTTGTCCACACACTCATTGGCTCCTCTAGACTCACAGCCTTGGACAAGGTTCCACAGCGTTCTGCCTGCAATTGTAGCTTCAGCTAGGGGTGCCCTCAACCTTTCTCTCCCCCACAAAACCTTGAAAAGCAGTTCTCTCGGTGAATTTGATCCTCCACATCATTTGGAATCATAGGGTGACTGCCCCAGAAGAAATATACCACGCATGCATGGACGCTATATAGGACGGTGTAGGGCCAGGGACGGCACAACTCCAGTGCCTAAGCATGTGCGTAACTCCGTCTGCAAGAGAGACATGAGCTCTGTTCCTGTGCGACGGTACACCCAACCCTGGCCTGGTAACCAGTCAAAGCGTGCTGGACCACTGCAGGGGAGAGCAGGAGGAGGCAAGCAGTGGATGAAGCATGAGTATCTGCTGAAACAGAAAAAAGTGATACGTGCAAGTCTGCGAATATATTCAGCATGGACAACCATCTTCGCGTTCAGCCAATAAGCACACGAGGAAAAGTTGTGCTGCGCACAATCTACAAGAAGAACATACAGCTGTAGTCAAGGCAGCCCATGATAAAACCTGTGACAGTGGTGGCATGGCCTACTGATCAGGATGGATACTACATTGCTACTAGAGGCATACCTTTGTGGGGAAGAAAGCCAAATTTGCCTGTTTGGAGCTTGCTTGTTGATCACAAAGATCCCGTGTTGTCCGAGACGAAGCGTCAAAACTCCTTGCTGCATAAAAAGAATTGCAGGGAGCATTTGAAGGAAACAGTGCAGGGTATTTCTCAATAACTGCTTGGGGAAGCGACCCAAAATGATGTGAACTTCAGGTTCCCGGGGTTGCTAAACAGGAAAATGTAAACGGAGATAATGACAGGTTGCTAGCCAAAGACTGTGTAAGTGGGACTTCCAAGCTTACCGGAAGCCAGAAAACACTTACTGACAGGTCAACATCGAATCCTTCAATGTCCACCTCATCACCTAGAACCTGCAAAACCGCCAGACAGCAGCAAGGGAAAACTTTGGCCGAAACCCTGAAACGATATGGGGACGGAGCTCATGTCAATCGTCAACTGGCTAATCATTAAAAGCCCAGATATTGAAGGGAAAGAGCGACTAAATGGGTTATGTTCAGGAGCTCATGCAAATGACAGCATTTAAATGTCAGAGCAGAAGCATCTGAGTGTGAACATCTCGGTGCATACATCGAAGTTCTCGTGGAGCCAGTGCAGGGCTTCGTCTGCGAGCCGGTGAAAATCATTCTCACTCAGCTCTCCTTCCGCTGCTTCTGCTGCATCAAACGATGACGGTCCGCCCAGTGGCGATGTCGGTTGTGGAGACAACGCCGACAGCTGTCGAGTCACTATTGGTTGTGGTGCTAGTGAAGGCAGCAGCTGTCGGGTCATCACAGTCGGCCGTGATGTCAGCGAAGCGGATGCTGATGAAAATACACGTGTCTGTAGTTTCGCCTGATTGAAATCATGAATTCCCAACGGTCCTTCGCGCATGAGTTCAACCGGATCGACTGCAAGGACGCGTTGCGTGTCTCGTAACTGGGAGTCTGTCTCGTTTGAAAAGCGTGCGACGTTATACAGCCTAAGGTTCTCGTCGGTCCAGAGAAATGGTGTTCCAGGCGGGATTCGCGGCAAAGAACCGCACAGCGGCAGGACTAATCTACGCCGTCCGTGCGATCTAACTGTAGGAATGAACCTACTGGCCATTGTCCCTACATTGATCGCGCGGCAGCAACGACCTCCCGATAAAAGCTCTTCGCCTAAGAAACAAATAGCCCAGATAATTCGACGCGAGAATCGCAGAAAGCCGTGAACGGGCCTAAGGTCGTGCTTCTAGCAGCGAGTCGCCGAATGAATGTTTGCCAGGGTGAAATATGGCAAGTAAGGTTCTGACATCCAGGAGGCAGATGGCATCAAACATGAATGACTGCTGTGCTCCCTCGGGAAAAGCATGAAGCCAGATTCCATAACTTCACTAAGTCAAGTTTCGATTTCGTCGCAAACATGTGAAATTCCAATTACAGAACGCAAATGCTCACAGAACTTGGTGTAGAGAATTCAGAAGTTTGGACTCGAGATTCCCAAGCCAAGCACACTTTTCGGCTGAAAGGTATCAGGCCTTGGGATTGATGCTCTTTCTGGATGGCTTGGGCGATAGTTGGGCGGCCCATGTTGGATGGCTTGGGCGATACCCACAACGGGGAAATCAGTCTGAATTTCTGGTTCGATAGTTTAGCTTTCACATCTTTGTTTCTATGGCTTGCCTTCCACATCGTTGCCGCACGGGATCTGTTCTCGTTCGTCTCAAGCGCGCCGCAAGTGTCCTTGTTTGGCTCAACCCATGGATGCATGCGGTTGTTCTCATCTCACTCACAAAGCCCAATTTCCACCACCAACAACCAGGAAGGCGAAACGACGCAATGTTCCGCTTTGGTGGCAGCTGTCTAGTAATTGCTGCCAACAGAGTCTTACGGCAAGCACACCCAAATCCTGTACTAAAAGCTCGACTTGAGGTCCCCTCGACCCCACTTTAGAACTCCAACGAGGCTTCCTTTCGTCCCATCTCATAGCCTTCGTCCCATTTGACGTTCTGTCGCGAGCACTGTCTAGTCAGACAGCTCCATGGCCCTCCCTCGATCTCAGTGCGGACTGGTGCATCTTTCCGGTGCTTCACGCTTCGCTCAAGGCTGCTGCTCTCAGAGCATTAACCGAAGCGAGTTCTTTACACCTTTTTGGACACGCACCAACTCAGTTCGGCTGCGTCTGCCAGGCGTGAAAGCTGCGAAGCCATCCTCGATATCTCTCAGACGCTTCAGTCATGAAACGTTTTCCCAATGTGAATCGCGACAGGCGCCGTTTGGACTCGTTTTCCGTGGGTCATTGTCTCCTCTGGAATCTGGTACGTTTGCTTGTTCAGGAAATTCAATCTCGTGAATTATAGACGGTTGTAGGCGATTTCAAGTTATACTCCTTTACGATATTGCTGACTTTTTTTTATCTTTGCGATCCCGGTCAGGTACTCAGCAGAGTCTCGTCTCGGCGCCGCTCATCTCGTCCTTCAACGAAAACGTCCGTCCGATGCTTGATGCCATTGATAAGCTTCGGATTCTGGGCCTGAAGGAGGAGGGGATCGAACTTCCGACTATCGTTGTTGTCGGTGACCAATCCAGCGGCAAGTCATCCATCCTGGAGAACCTGTCAGGAATCAGCTTACCCAGAGGGAATGGAATTGTTACGCGAGTGCCGCTGATCCTGAGGCTCCAATCGTGCACGAGCAAAGATGGGAAGATTACAATAGAGTACAACAATCCAAGTTCCGGAAAGATTTTCAAAGTCCTTCCTGATGAAGAAAGCATTCAAGAGGAGATCTCTAAGGCGACTGTGACCTTAGCTGGTAGCAGAAAAGGTGTTATGGATCGTCCAATCACTCTGCAGGTGAAGAGATCTGGATTACCTGACTTGACGCTGGTGGATCTGCCTGGGATCACACGAGTTCCTGTCGAGGATCAGCCGAAGGACATCTACAATCAGGTCAAGAAAATGATCATGCAGTATATCACTCCAGAGGAGAGCGTCATTCTCAACGTCCTTGCAGCTGAAGTTGACTTCTCCACGTGCGAATCCATTGTAATGTCTCAAGAGGTTGACCAAGACGGAGATCGTACCTTGGCTGTCGTCACCAAGGTTGACAGGGCTCCTGATGGCCTCTATGAGAAGATTCAAGGCAACTCGGTGCGGATTGGCCTGGGCTACGTGTGTGTCAGGAACAAGACGGACGCTGATGCTTCTCATGCTGCTGCTCGACTTGCAGAAACGGATTTCTTTGATCGCCATCCAGAGTTGAACAGAATTGAGACCGATTCTCGAGGGATTCCAGCTCTTGCACAGCGACTGTCAGAGATTCAAGCCAAGCGCGTAGCAGAGAGCATTCCACGGATCAGGCAGTCCATCCAGAAGACACTGATTGCCAAAGAAGATGAATTGCAGAAAATTCCCTTGGCTGCCAATTCGGATGGTGCTGCACTGGCGATGATCTCTTCCACAATCCAAAGAAGGCGAGATTTTATGACAGGCCTCATTGGTGGAAGGTATGGTCAGCTTCATGGTGACATCGCCATGCACTATGCTGCGAGGCTGAACGAGAAATTCAACGAGTACGAGGCTCAGATGCGGAAAATTCTTCCCGACTTTCTTGGGAAAAAATACACGGAGACATGCAAAAATGCCCTGAAAGAGGTTGCTGGAATTTCGCTGCCCAATATGCTGGATCAAGCTGTGAAGAGGCAATTGGTGCAAGAGATGATCGACAGTATTGAAGGGCCATCGTTGATGCTGGTGGAGGACTGCTTTTCCTATGCAGCAGAGATTCAAAAAGCTGTGATAACGAAGACTTGTTCAGGGTATCCTAACCTGGAGAATGCCGCTCAACTGCAAGCACTCATTGCCCTGAAGAAGGCCAAAGATTCATCAATTCAGATGACGAAGAACCTTCTGTTGAAGGAAAGGAGGGTGATTTTTACTCTGAATCACTACTACATGGACACCGTTTCAAAAATACACCAGTCGATTGCTGCTTACAAAGCAGACCGATATGGCAACACTCCCAGCGTTGATGGTTTCAGCTCAAACACTGCTTCATTAGCTGACTTGATCAGCAACGATGATCAGGCGGCAAGGGATCTGCAGATCAATGTGTTTTCCTATGCTAAGGTGGTGCACAAGAGGTTGTGCGATGTGATCCCCATGGAGATCCGCATGTCTCTGGAGGACGCTCTTGTGGATGATACAGATGCTGCGATTTGGGGGGTGATTCAGACTGGAAGTGCTTCCAAGCTCGCAGCTCTCAAGGTGGCTGATCAGCAGCGCAGGGTTCAGCTTGAAGAAAGCGTCACAAGGCTCAGGGCGTGTGAAGCTACTCTGTTGGGCATAGCATTTGATTCCCATGTGTAGCTTCAACTAGTAAGTTGTACCTACAGTGTGTGTGGGTGTACTGACAGTTGTTTCTTCTCCCCATTAAATAAATGCACCTAGCAGCACCTGCCATAGCTGAGAAGATCCCTGTTGCAACTGCACCCGTTCCATTCTCATCAATCACCTGGTCACTCTTTTCGGCAAGCAGGTGGTATAAATCTCAATGCCTCATTCCTGGGCATTTGCCTTTTCACTAGTACCAATTGAGAATCACTGCGCTGCAGTACACAGATCCTACATATGCATGAATATATAAAGCATGCACATGGTACCAGTTATTCCCCAACCCAGCTTCTTTCATGATCCTACACAACAGCTACTCTTCTACACCTCTGGCGAGGCATATAAAACTTCTAGCTACTACAATAGTTTCTTAAAAAACCCTACAGCATCTCAAGTGCTACCTAAAAATCCCTATGAACCACAACCCACTGGCCCCCTTCGATTCTCACCCCCCAAGAAGTACCCTTCCTCCAGATAATGCTTCCTTAACATCCACTGAACGACCAACCAAAAGCCCTACCTGATTTCTTCTTCCACCAACCCCTCACAACGTGAGTTCAGCAGGGAGGCATGGCAGGCGCTGAATCCTAGCCCCCAGCCCTCTGAGCTTGGTATCCAGGCGCTCATACCCCCTGTCAATATGCGCCACGCCCTCTATGTGCGTGCGGCCCTCCGCTGCCATCCCTGCCAGCACCAGCGCTGCTCCTGCCCGCAAGTCAGTGGCTGCCACGGGGGCGCCGTACAGCTGGCTGCCCTGATCCCTGCCGCTGATGATGGCGGTGTTGCCTGTGATCTTGATCTTGGCTCCCATCTTCTGCAGCTCCTCCACTGCTTGCTCAAAGCATGGTATGATGACATGCCATTGCACAGCACACACGTTGCCAGCCACAATACAGCATGCAATAAGACCCATTCGCGCCATGGATTATCGCGTGCGAACCCACCCAACACATGCATACCACAAACACCATGCCATGCGGACACACAAGAATCCACCGGTTAAATGAATTATTCAAGCAGCAGAGAAACAGCGACAGGACAAACGCCCGCACACTCCAAACCATTCAGCAGCTCGGCAGCACAAAACAGAGCGCCACAAGGCTGTTCGCCGCACTCACCATGTCTCATCCGTGACTCAAACACTGTCTCCCGGATGACGCTCTGCCCGCTGGCAGTGGTGAGCGCGGCCATGAGCTGCGGCTGCATGTCCGTTGGGAAGCCCGGGTACGGCAGCGTCGTCACGTCCGCTGCTCTCAAAGGCCAGATGCCCGGCGAGATCTGCTTGCAAGGGGAAGAGAGGTGGAAAAACGAGAGCAAAAACCAGAGAGTGAACAGCTTGACATGCCAAACTTCACCACCACATCTCCTTACACCCATTCTTACTGTACCAAACGTTCCATACTTTACATCTGACAATA